CAGCAGACCCCACCAAGCAGTTACCACTTATCACAACAGCACATGGAGCCCCACACCCAGCTAAATTGCATGAATGCTCCCTGAGCCATTCATGAATCACACAGAGAAAGAAACCAGCAAATCTCCCATGCCCCCAGCCTTGCATCCCTAGACTATACCATCTTTCCCTAGCCAGAAGTCTAACCAGTTTAGGTTTATTACCCAGTCTGCCCCTCCTTTGATGTAGAGAGGACACATACTAGTCTTTGTAAACTGAGCAGAGATTTCCCAAGCAGTTGAGCCAAAACACACTGTTTTAGGTAAAATACAAAGCAGATTTATTAACTGCTGAAAGATAGATTATAAGCGGTAGGCACAAAAGGTCAGAGATAGTTACCAAAGAAAATAAAAGGTAAGCACACGGTGTAAGTCTTAAATCCTATTAGACTAGGCAGTATTGGGATCAAGCAGTTTTTCTCAATCCACTGGGTGTTGGTAGTAGGTTATCGTTCTTAATACACAGGCTTCCTCTTTAACCTGGGACCAATCTCCTCAGCTGGCCATTTAAAACCCCGCTGGGAGTGGGTCACCTCCTTTGTTGTCACTGGAGAACTAGCAGTGGAGACTCTCAAACTAACAACATATTTAAGTAACAATCATACAGTAAAATCTGAAAACTTTATACACACTAATGATATACATACTTTGACAAAACAATGGCTTTCAGCAGATCATGACCTTTCATATGATATCTTATATGGCATGCTTTGTATGAAATATATCATAATTTATGATGGGTGAATATGGGGATTTCAGGGTGCTGTTTTGAGGTACAGAGTGCCAAACTAAATTTCTCTGCAATGTCAATGTGGCATGAAGAATGGTCTGCAGCTGATGTCAGAAACCAGTTTCTTATAGCTGACCCAACCACAAATGTACCCAACTTTGAATTACCACATCACCCTTCTGAACTGATTTTGAACAGGCCAGGGTCAATATACAACTAACCTTCACTCCTGCGGTCAACAAGATTATCCCATATGTGGCTGTGGCCAAAGACAGATAGTGTCACATCACTGGTGACTGCCCTCTGACCAGATTCAATGGTGGTCTGAGAGTTCTGCACTTCACTAATAAGACTCCTGCATATTGGCTTGGAAACCTCTGCATGTGAGAAGAAGATCACAACACTCCCTTTCATATGAATCTATGAAATGGTTAATTCAGCTGAACCAGTGCAAGATTCCTTTTCTTTGCAGAAAGAAAGATAATTCAGCCACACATATAGGCCTTCATTGTTTCCCAGAGGATGGCTTCAGAAGGGGCTGGCTTTCATAAGGTATTTTTCTAAGAAGAGCTGTCAATTTTTTTTTAAAGGAGGGAAACAAATAGTCAGCTATTAGGGAAATATTAAAATACCATCTAGTTAGAATGAGGCTGTCTGATATTTTGAACATGTGGATGGCAAGCTGGAAGAGAAGAATATAGTACTTATTTTAATCTAGAAAGGAATGGCCACTCTATTTATCAAAGAAGTAGCCTATTTTGTCAGATTATAAATGATCATCCTTGGGTCACACTGCCTTACTGATGTCCTGCTTGCTGAAGAAATCTTGGTGTCTTCATCATGTCTGTAATTCTGCTGCAATAAAACTGACTAGAGGAAATAAACCACCTGGCTTACCAGAGCCATCCCATCTTTATGGTATCAGAAGAAAAGATTGTTAGAGTGGAAGTTAAAGAACGAGCATGCATTAAAGTTTTTGACATTCTGATCTTGCAGTGGTGATCACCCATCTGTAAATCAAGTAAATAAAATAGGGATTTAGTATTCCTTCTTCCACTATGAAGAGTGCCTGTCTCTGTATTTGTACACACAGCAATAAATTCAACAGAGAAAAGGGGAACATTTTATGTATTAGCTATAGTACACAGTTTACTTTTCTACTGTGGAATATATAGCATCTGCATTGCAGAAGAGGCTCCCAATTTTACGATCTTAAAAGAACACTGCTGGGCTGGTAAAGGAAATTCATCCAATATTTCTCTGAGCAGGACTGAAACCCTGAGGTTAGATATAAATTCTATCAAGTACGACCCAAGAACCCCAACTGGAAGAGGACATTGAGGTATACAGGGAACCCTTAGGTAAAGAATGTCATGTTAGCTCTGTAACCAAAGCCTGTGTCATACTGGTCAAAATAACAATGGTGGCCTGTGTGGAAGAAAAACGCAGTCTTCACTCTTAGGTTGTTTGCAACAAGTCAGAGACAGTTTATTCTCAAGTAATTGCAAGGGGGAGAGTGCTCACGGACAGGGATTTCCTCTTCCTAGGCAGGTTTCCGCCAGATTAGGCGATTAGGGCAAGCATTTATACCTTATATTACATACAATAATCAACTGCTGTGTCTTGTTTATACATATTCCTTCCTGATATCTTACTTTGAAAGCAGTTTCTGCTACAGTCTGCGTTCCATTCTTACCTAACACAAGGTCAAAACAGCATCTCTTACAGTTTCCTCACTCGCTTCCCACTCGCCCAGGCCCTGACTTAGGGTGTGTCTACACTATGAAATTAGGTTGAATTTATAGAAGTCAGTTTTTTAGAAATCATTTTTATATCCTCGATTTTGTGTGTCCCCACACAAAATGCTCGAAGTGCATTAAATGCATTAACTTGGCGGAGTGCTTCCACAGTACCAAGGCTAGCATCGACTTCCGGAGCATTGCACTATGGGTAGCTATCCCACAGTCTCTGCCGCCCATTGGAATTCTGGGTTGAGATCCCAATGCCTAATGGGGCAAAAACATTGTTGTGGGTGGTTCTGGGTACATGTTGTCAGGCCATCCCTCCGTGAAAGCAATTGTTTTGTGCCTTTTTTCCTGAGTTACCTGTGCAGACGCCATACCACGGCAAGCCTGGAGCCCGCTCAGCTCACTGTCACCATATGTCTCCTGGGTGCTGACAGACGCGGTAGTGCATTGCTACACAGCAGCAACCCATTGCCTTATGGCAGCAGACAGTGCACATAGGCCTGATAACCATCGTCATCATGTCCAAGGTGCTCCTGGATGCCTCGGTGAGGTCGGTCAGGAGCGCCTCGGCAGACATGGGCATAGGGACTAAAATAGGAGTGACTCGACCAGGTCATTCTCTTTAGTCCTTCCGGCAGTCCTAATTCACCATCTTCTGCCGAGCAGGCAGGAGATGAGGTGGCTAGCAGTCCTACTGCACCATCTGCTGCCAGCCAAAGATGTAAAAGATAGATGCAGTGGGTCAAAACAAGAAATACACCAGATTTGTTTTGTATTCATTTGCTCCCCCCTCCCTCCCAGCCTCTATGAAATCAATGGCCGACAATCATTTTGGTGAGGTCTGTCAGGGGCACCTTGAAAAGTTTAATGGAGATTCAGTCCTGCCTGAATTACTAGGGGGAGGGATAGCTCAGTGGGTTGAGCATTGCCCTGCTAAACCCAGGATTTTGAGTTCAATCCTTGAGGGGGCCATTCTGTGTGACAGTTGTTTTTGTTTCTCTTTGATGTATAGCCACCCCTTTGTTGATTTTGATTCCCTGTAAGCCAACCCTAGAAGCCATGTAGTCAGTCGCCTCTCCTTCCATCAGAGCAACAGCAGACAATCGTTCCGCGCCTTTTTTCTGTGCAGACGCCATACCATGGCAAGCATAGAGCCTGCTCAGATCACTTTGGCAATTAGGAGCACATTAAACACCATGCGCATTAACCACGCACAGTATATGCAGCACCAGAAATTGGCAAAGTGAAACCGGGCGAGTAGGCGATGTCAGCACGGTGACGAAAGTGATGGGGACATGGACACAGACTTCTCTCAAAGCACAGGCCCTGGCAATGCGGGCATCATGGTGCTAACGGGGCAGGTTCATGCAGTGGAATGCCAATTCTGGGCCTGGGAAACAAGCACAGACTGGTGGGACCGCATAGTGTTTCAGGTCTGGGACGATTCCCAGTGACTGAGAAACTTTTGCATGCGTAAGGGCACTTTCATGGAACTTTGACCTGCTTTCCCCTGCCCTGAGGCGCAAGAATACCAAGATGAGAGCAGCCCTCACAGTTGAGAAGCGAGTGGAAATAGCCCTGTGGAAGCTTTCAACACCAGACAGCTACCAATCAGTCGGGAATCAATTTGGAGTGGGCAAATCTACTGTGGGGGCTGCTGTGATGCAAGTAGCCAATGCAATCAAAGATCTGCTGATATCAAGGATAGTGACCCTGGGAAATGTGCGGGTCATAGTGGATTACTTTGCTGCAATGGGATTCTCTAACTGTGGTGGGGCCATAGACAGAACCCATATCCCTATCTTGGCACAGGAGCACCAAACTGGCGAGTACATAAACTGCAAGGGGTACTTTTCAATAGTGCTGCAAGCCCTGGTGGATCACAAGGGATGTTTCACCAACATCAACGTGGGATGGGCGGGAAAGGTACATGACGCTCGCATCTTCAGGAACTCTGGTCTGTTTCAAAAGTTGCAGGAAGGGACTTTATTCCCAGACCAGAAAATAATTGTTTGGGAAGGTGAAATGCCTATAGTTATCCTTGGGGACCCAGCCTACCTCTTAATGCCATGGTTCATGAAGTCATACAAAGGCACCCTGGACAGTAGTCAGGAGCTGTTCAACTATAGGCTGAGCAAGTGCAGAATGGTGATAGAATGCTTTTTGGATGTTTAAAAGCATGCTGGCGCAGTTTACTGACTCGGTTAAACCTCAGCGAAACCAATATTCCCACTGTTATTACTGCTTGCTGTGCGCTCCACGATATCTGTGAGGGCAAGGGGGAGACGTTTATGGCGGGGTGGGAGGTTGAGGCAAATCGCCTGGCCACTGGTTACACGCAGCCAGACACCAGAGTGATTAGAAGAGCACAGGAGGGCGTGGTGTGCATCAGAGAAGCTTTGAAAACCAGTTTCGTGACTGGCCAGGCTACGGTGTGAAAGTTCTGTTTCGTTCTCCTTGATGAACCCCCCCACCACCACCACCACCTTGGTTCACTCTACTTCCCTGTAAGCTAACCACCCTCCGCTTCTCCCTTCAATCACTTCTTGCACAGTCATTGTTGCTTCACATTCATGCATTCTTTATTCATTCATCACACAAATAGGGGGATAACTGCCAAGGTAGCCTGGGAGGGGTGGTGGAGGAGGGAAGGACAAGGCCACACAGCACTTTAAAAGTTTAAAACTTATTGAATGCCAGCCTTCTGTTGCTTGGGCAGCCCTTTGGGGTAGAGTGGCTGGGTGCCCGAAGGCCCCCCACACCGCATTCTTGGGTGTCTGGGTGAGGAGGCTATGGAACATGGGGAGGAGGGCGGTTGGTTACAGGGGCTGTAGCGGTGGTCTGGGCTCCTGCTGCCTTTCCTGCAGCTCAGCCATACACTGGAGCATATTAATTTGGTCCTCCATCAGCCTCAGCATTGAATCCTGCCTTCTCTCATCACGCTGCTGCCACCTTTCAGCTTCAGCCCTCTCTTCAACCCACCACTTCTCCTCCCGGTCATTTTGTGCTTTCCTGCACTCTGACATTGTCTGCCTCCACACATTCGTCTGTGCTTTGTCATTGTGGGAGGACAGCATGAGCTCAAAGAACATTTCATCGTGAGTTCATTTTTTTTTTTTTTTTTTTTGCCTTCTAATCTTCGCTAGCCTCTGGGCAGGAGAAGATCCTGTGATCCTTGAAACACATGGAGCTGATGGAGAAAAAAAGGGACAGTGGTATTTAAAAAGACACATTTTATAGAGCAATGGGTACACTCTTTCATGGTAAACCTTGCTGTTAACATTACATATATAGGGCATGTGTTTTCGTTACAAGGTCACATTTTGCTTCCCCCCACCACCTAACCCCTCCCTGCTCCCCATGGCTAACGGCGGGGAACATTTCTGTTCAGCCACAGACAAACAGCCCAGCAGGACCAGCCACCTCTGAATGTGCCCTTAAGAAAAGTACCCTATTTCAACCAGGTGACCATGAATGATATCCCACTCCTGAGGATAATACAGAGAGATAAAGAACGGATGTTGTTTGAACGCCAGCAAACAGACTGTCAAGGTTCCTTCCCCACTCTGAACTCTAGGGTACAGATGTGGGGACCTGCATGAAAGACCCCCTAAGCTAATTCTTACCAGCTCTGGTTAAAAACTTCCTCAAGGTACAAACTTTGCCTTGTCCTTGAACCCTATGCTGCCACCACCAAGCGTATTAAACAAAGAACAGGGAAAGAGCCCACTTGGAGATGTCTTCCCCCAAAAAATATCCTCCCAAACCCTACACCCCCTTTCCTGGGGAAGGCTTGATAAAAATCCTCACCAATTTGCATAGGTGAACATAGACCCAAACCCTTGGATATTAAGAACAATGAAAAAGCAATCAGGTTCTTAAAAGAGAATTTTAATTAAAGAATCACCTCTGTAAAATCAGGATGGTAAATACCTTACAGAGTAATCAGATTGAAAACAGAGAATCCCTTTAGGCAAAACCTTAAGTTACAAAAAGACACAAAAACAGGAATATACATTCCATTCAGCACAACCTATTTTACCAGCCATTTAACAAAGGGAAATCTAACGCATTTCTAGCTAGATTACTTACTAACTTAACAGAAGTTCTAAAGAGCATTCCTGCTCTGGTCCCGGCAAAAGCATCACACAGACAGACAGAGCCTTTGTCATCCCCGCCCCAGCTTTAGACAAAGTAAATTGTCTCCTAATTGGTCATTTTGGTCAGGTGCAAGTGAGGTTATCTTAGCTTCTTAACCCTTTACAGGTGAAAAGGTTTTGCCTCTGGCCAGGAGGGATTTTATAGTTCTGTATACAGAAAGGTTGTTACCCTTCCCTTTATATTTATGACACATACACTGCAATGCTTTGTTCTGCAATGATTCCCGAATATGTGCTACTGGCCTGGTGTGGTAAAGTGTCCTACCATGGTGGACGGAATAAGGCTGCCGTCCCCAGAAACCTTTTGCAAAGGCTTTAGGAGTACATCCAGGAGAGCTTTATGGAGATGTTCCTGGAGGATTTCCGCTCCATCCCCAGACATGTTAACAGACTTTTCCAGTAGCGAATGCCAGGGAAAATTAATCATTAAACATGCTTGCCTTTAAACCATGTATACTATTTAAAATGGTACACTCACCAGAGGTCCCTTCTCCGCCTGGTGGGTCCAGGAGGCAGCCTTGCGTGGGTTCATGGGGTACTGGCTCCAGGTCCAGTGTGAGAAACAGTTCCTGGCTGTCAGGAAAACCGGTATCTCTGCTTGCTTGCTGTGAGCTATCTACAACCTCATCATCATCATCTTCCTCGTCCCCCAAACCTGCTTCTGTGTTGCCTCCATCTCCATTGAAGGAGTCAAATAATACAGTTGGGGTAGTGGTGTCTGAACCGCCTAAAATGGCATGCAGCTCATCATAGAAGCAGCATGTTTTGGGCTCTGACCCGGAGCAGCCATTTGCCTCTCTGGTTTTCTGGTAGGTTTGCCTCAGCTCCTTAAGTTTCACGTGGCACTGCTTTGGGTCCCTGTTATGGCCTCTGTCCTTCATGCCCTGGGAGATTTTGACAAATGTTTTGGCATTTCGAAAACTGGAAGGGAGTTCTGATAGCACGGATTCCTCTCCCCATATAGCGATCAGATCCTGTACCTCCCGTTCGGTCCATGCTGGAACTCTTTTGTGATTCTGGGAGTCCATCACGGTCACCTCTGCACTCACCTGCAGCTTGCCACACTGGCCAAACAGGAAATTGAAATTCAAAAGTTTGCGGGCCTTTTCCTGTCTACCTGGCCAATTCATCTGAGTTGAGAATGCTGTCCAGAGCAGTCACAATGGAGCAGTCTGGGATAGTTCCTGGAGGCCAATACCATCTAATTGTGTCCACAGTACCCCAAATTCAATACAGTAAGGCCAATTTCAGCGCTAATTCCCTTGTCGGGGTGAAGTAAGGAAATCGATTTTAAGAGCCCTTTAAATTTAAAAAAAAAAGGCTTCGTCATGTGGACGGGTGCAGGGTTAAATCGATTTAACACTGTTAAATTCGACCTCAACTCCTAGTGTAGACCAGGGATTAGTCTCGCATTATTAGAGTTAGAGTTAGCCTGACTCTTGCTGTATTCCTAAGAAAACTAAGATGTCTGCATTCAAATTCCCTTTATCCCATTTTCCACTTCCATGCTCCCCCCTCTTGTGTTTCCAGCACAACTATCCGTCTTAAACCTCCATTTTCATCAAAATTTGCATTTCTGATTCTAGATCTAATGGTTCAGCCTCATGGGTTTTGATTGGATGCAACGACAATGCATGGTTAGTATGCACATAGAAGGTGTTATTATTATTATTGCATCCTTAACAACAATAACATAATCCTAAACTGAACAACAACAATAAAAGCATTAACATTCCCACTGTAATAATGTGATGGGGTTGTTCTATAGCCTTAATCACAAAACACAATACATCATAATTAGTACATAAAGTAGACACTCTATAGGCTGTATGAAAGGCATACTTTTCAATTTGATATATATTTTGAAGCATATGAATTTCATCTTGTAATTCAGAGATTTTACGGACCTCTGGTAGGAGTGAAGGCAAATTTTGGAACCAGTCAGATACTAAGGCAGTCCAATTAAAGGGTGTCTAAAACCTAAGGGCTGATTGTAGGATTCTATCTGCAGGCCAATAAATAATATGATTGCCTGCAGCAGTGGTGAGATTAAAATGTATGTCTTGCAAAGTGGTGGCCTTAACGTACACACAACTGTCATCAGCTTGGAAGCAGGTGTCCTGTCAGGGTAGTTTCTTGTCCCATACCTTCCCAACAAACATTGTCATGAACAGTGACAACTTCCCCTGGCTTCAGTTTTCATACACACTGAAGCTATGGGGGTTCTAAAGGCCAGAGTGTCCATTGACTCCCTATCTCTAGCCAAATGTTGGGTGTTATTCCAGGAGCACTGACTATAAATCGGTTATGCATACCAGGTAGTTTAATTTCCCAAATGTCTTGGTGAATTATCCAGTCCCACATGCGACCTCCCCATGGACCCGGCAGGATTTGGTATGTGGGAGCCCACATCTCTCCAATCAGTCCGTATGCTTGGAATGAGCACTGTGAACGTCTGCTCTTCCACCCAGAAAATCTCCAAGTATGTCTCCATTCCCACAGATCAGATGATGCTCCTGAAGTATCTGTAAGGGCAGTGGGCCAAGCCTGATGCTCAAGGCCAATCTGAATGGCCATGAGCTGATCGTTCAGGAAATCCTGAATTTCTGAACATGCCATATCCCACTGCAATGCCTTCCCAGCCGCCATGATATTTTGCACCATCATTGTCAGAAGTTTCTGGGTCATTGAACTAAGGGTGGAGATAACACATAATTCACCAACTGCAGCCTGTACCTGGGTTAATTGTGCTCCAGTAATAAGACCTGTGGCTTTTTCCAACTGTCCTACTTTTTCTTCATGTTGTTGGCCTTTATAAATATTCCAAATTTCAGCTGAGCTATTGGCACCATCCCATAGGTGTCCAGCCAAGTCCCTCTTCTTTCTGGAGGAAACCCAGGCCCTTTGCTGTGCAAACTGAATGGCAGCCCCTTTTGAGCAATTAGGATATGTAGAGGTGACCTGAAAACTGGATAAAGGCAGCGTGAATTTTATAGTCCCTAGTGTAGTATTAATCACAGTCCATCGATAGCCTAACACATCTCTCTTTGGTGAAGTACCGTACCAAATCTGTCAGCTAAACACTTTCATATATTTCCAAGAGGCATTGGCATTAATAGCATAAGAAGGGGTATATTGCAATATGGTGCAGCTTAAATGATTAGTTACTGGGATTATTTCAATGCAGCTAAAATTTCCAGTGGCAGAACAGACTCTTTGGGTCTACGTTTGATTATTCAGTAATTGGGTGACTAAATAACAATAAGGGCCTCTTTCATCTAACATACTGCAGACTCCAGGAACGGCCATCATATCTACCTCGCTATAGAACCCATTAATCTCAATTTCCGATTCTTGGGGCTCATTTGTAGTGATATCATATATTTCTATTTCCACAGACCCATTTGTTTTCCACTCAATTGTTCGCTCATATGACATTTCTGAACTTTAAAAAATAAATTTTGTGAACAAAATTTCAGTAAATCACTAAGATATAATTGGCCATTGGGTTTCATTAGAATATTCAGTATTGTCTGTATTTGGGTAAATTACAGGGGTTGTGGCAAAGGTGGAGGGGATGGTGGGGGTAATGTTTGTGGCAGCAAGGCATCTTTGGTATTCGTCATTGGGAAGCCAGTTAGGGAAGGCAGTACATTCTGATGGTACTTGTCCGTAAGCACAAAGCCCAGACCCTGGAAAAAAAATCCAAGCCACCACTCAACTCCACATTCCCAAGAACGGTCCCCACCCTGCCAATATACGATACTCCGTTTCCTCCACCAGGGCCAATTTTTAATGTCCTTTATCGTCAGGAATTCCTGGACCTCGGTGGCTTCAGCAGAGCCAGTGTTCCTTCTTCTCTCTTGAAACAGTCGTGGTTTAGCATTATGCAGTGGAGAGGTTACTAGCACATCAGCCTGTAATGATTTGGTTCTTCTAGCAAAATCCAAATGCATGGTAGTTCTGTCAGTGGACAAGGGAGAGGTTACTAGCAAATCACCTTGTCCTTTTTTCTCCTGCTGTCCAGAAGGAGAGAGAGACCGATCATCAGTCGGAGGGTCATCCCGAGGTGGAGGAGCCTTTTTTCAGTGAGAAGCATGGGTCCAGGCAGTCAGTCCTTGGCACCTCACAGTGGTGTTAACAGGACTTGGTAAGGGCCCTTCCAGCACGGGGTCAGGGTGGTCTTTTGTTGATGGACCTTTATGTAGACCCAATCTCCTGGTTCCAGCGAGTGGCAGGGTTGCTCAGGATCCTTGGGTAGTGCTTCTTTCATCTGTGTATAAAGAGACCTAACACATTTCATTAGTGCCTGACAATAATTAAGCATTGTGTCATCCATAAAACGAATGTCCATCTGGGCGAAGGTCAGTGGAGGCGCTGCTGGAAGTCGCATCAGGTGCCCTGTCAGGATCTTATGAGGACTGAGTCCAGTCTTTCGATTGGGAGTGGCCCTTATGCTCATCAATGCTAATGGAAGGGCATCTGGCCAATTTAAGTTAGTCTCAGCACAGCTCTTGGCTAGTTTATTTTTCAAAATCCCATTTTGACGTTTCACTGTCCCGGCAAACTGCAGGTGGTGGGGGCAGTGGAGGTTGGATCTGCAAAGCTGCACATAACTCTTTTACAATCTGTCCAGTAAAATGAGTTGCACAATCACTGTTGATACTCACAGGTATGCCAAATCGTGGTCAAAATCCTTAAGCAAAAGTTTCACAACAATCTTGGCATCTGCCCTTCTGCAAGGGAAGGCCTCAACCCAGTTTGAAAATACATCAACGAAAACTAACACATACTCATAATTACAACATTTAGACATTGGAATAAAATTAGTCTGAATATTTACAAAAGGTCCCCAGGGTAATGCCTGGAGTCTCAAATGCAGGAGGGCAGGGGGCTCTAGGAAATCATCCTTGAGAATTTAAGCTCTGATTCTTACTACTGACTCAACATACAGGTCAAAAACTTCATCCCAACTTACAGATTCTCAGGGTCCAAGCATGGTTCCTCAATGGTTCTCAGGGATAGAGAGATCATGTTCCTCAAAAGTACAACAACTTTTATTAAAATATTAGAAAACCATCTACAAGAAATACTTACCTTCAGAAGTGGAAATGATACCATCTTTGGTGTAAGACAACAGATTTTGCCAACTCACTCTCCTCTTCTAAAGGTACTGGATTATCTGTTGAAATTGAAGATGTGTTTATTTATCAATTCTATTAGTGTTCACTTAGTGGCAATAACAGCCTTTCACACCCCCACAGGGAGGTTTTCTCTCTTCGCTCACCCTACTATGGCAAGATTTCTGAAAGGTTTGTCAAATATCTCCCCATAAATCAGAGACCCTACCTCTCCCATGGTCTTGAACCTAGTCCTTAATGGTCTTATGAAGCATCCGTTTGAACTAGGGTTGTCAATTAATAATCACAGTTAACTCACGCAACTAACTCAAAAAAATTAATCACGATTAAAAAAGTAGTCATGATTAATTGCAGTTTTAATCTCACTGTTAAACAATAGAATACCAATTGAAATGAATTAAATATTTTTTATGTTTTTCTACATTTTCATATATATTCTTGTTGTAATTGAAATCAAAGTATATATTTTTATTACAAATATTTGCACTATAAAATAAAAGAAAAAGTGTTTTTCAGTTCACCTCATACAAATACTACAGTGCAATCTCTTTGTCATGAAAGTGAAGCTTACAAATGTAGATTTTTTTTGTTACATAACTGCACTCAAAAACAAAACACTGTAAAACTTCAGAGCTTTCAAGTCCACTCAGTCCTACTTCTTGTTCAGCCAATTGCTTAGACAAACAAGTTTGTTTACATTTACAGGTCATAATACTTCCCTCTTCTTATTTACAATGTCACCAGAAAGTGAGAATAGGCATTTACAAGGCACTTTTGTAGCTGGCATTGCAAGGTATTTACATGCCAGATATGCTAAACCTTTGTATGCCCCTTCATGCTTTGGCCACTATTCCAGAGAACATGCTTCCATGCTGATGATGCTCATTTAAAAAAATGTGTTAATTAAATATGTGACTGAACTCCTGGGGGGAGAATTGCATGTTCCTGCTCTATTTTGTGTGCATTCTGCCATATATTTCATGTTATAGCAGTCTCAGATGATAAGTCAGCACATGTTGTTCATTTTAAGAACTCTTTCACTGCAAATTTCACAAAACGCAAAGAAGGTACCAATGTCCTATTTATAAAGATAGCTACAGCACTTGACCCAAGCTTTAAAAATCTGAAGTGCCTTCCAAAATCTGAGAGGGATGAGGTGTGGAGCATGCTTGCAGGAGTCTTAAAAGAGCAACATTCCAATGCAGAAACTACAGAACCCTAACCACCAAAAAAGAAAATCAACCTTCTGCTTGTGGCATCTGACTCACATAATTAAAATGAACATGCATTAGTCCACAGTGCTTTGGATTGTTACAGAGCAGAACCCATCATCGGCATGGATGCATGTCCCCTAGAATGGTGGTTGAAGCATGAGGGGACATATGAATCTTTAGCACATCTGGCAAGTAAATAATCTTGCGACACCAGTTACAACTGTGCCATTAGAATGCCTTTTCTCACTTTCAGGTGACATTGTAAACAAGAAGTGTGCAGCATTATCTCCTGCAAATGTAAACAAACTTGTTTGTCTGTGTGATTGGCTGAACAAGAAGTGGGACCGAGTGGGCTTGTGGGCTCTACAATTTTACATTGTTTTATTTTTGAATGAACTTATTTTTTGTACATAATTCTACATTTGTAAGTTCAACTTTCATGATAAAGAGATTGCACTACAGCACTTGTATTAGGTGAATTGAAAAATATTACTTCTTTTGTTTTTTACAGTGCAAATATTTGTAATAAAAATAAATATAAATTGAGCACTGTAAACTTTGTATTCTGTGTTGTAATTGAAATTGATGTATTTGAAAATGTAGAAAACAGTCAATATTTAAATGTTATTCTATTATTGTTTAACGGTGCAATTAATTGTGCAATTAATCATGATGATTTTTTTTTATTCTTGCTATTAATAAAAAATATTTTTAATTGCTTGACAACCCTAGTTTAAACCACTAGCTAAGTGTTCATTATTAGATATATCTATGAAGACAGCCTTTCTGGTAGAGTTCACTTCTGCCCAAAGTATAGGAGAGTTGGGGGCTTTAATGAGAGACTCCCCTATTTACAGTGTTCTCTAGAGAGAAAATATCACTAAAAATCCAAGATTCTTACATAAAGTGTCCTCAGAATTTCACATTTATCAAACCATTCATCTCCTGGTTTTCATCTCAGAACTGCATCAGACTCTTCAAGAAGTCATAGTCCATACTCTAGACGTCAGGACTGCATAGTCTTCTATCTAGACAGGACAAAACCATTTAGAAAATCTCCTAGACTATTTGTATCCATTACAGAGACAAACAAGAATTTGGTGGACCTCCAGTTGTATTAAGATTTGTTACAACAGAGCTCATGTTGAACTCCCCTTTGAGAGTGATAGCATATTCTACAAGAGCACTATCTACATCAATAGCTTTACTTAAGTACGTACCAATTGCAGACATCTGTAGAGTGGCAACTTGGTTCCCAGTTCATACCTTTTCTAATCATTAAACCCTGATGCCTGCAGCAAAAATCAGATGTGGCTGTGGGCAACACAGTTCTCTATTCTGTATTAGACTCTGTTCTGAATCTCACACTTCCTTAGGGGGACACTGCTCAGGAGTCACCTGCAATGGAGTACCTACAGGGACACAAATCTGGTAGAAGTCTAGTTACTGCACAAGGTGAATAACCTTTCCTTCTTCTGGGATGAGTCATGGTCCTATCTCTCCTCCATTCCTGTGCTATAACATTTCCTTCTCTAAAAACATTCAGAAAGTAGAAATTGCTGATACTTTTAATCATCATTTTGTTATTTCTAACCTAAAGCTCTTCAGACCTGCTTCGTTACAGGCTATTAGTGACTAGAAAAAGCACTTGAGCTGCAGTCCCATGGTTTATGATTTTAACACAGTCCCTGACTGAATTGTATATAGTATTAATAAACAGCCAATAGTAAATTATGCAGCAAAAACACTTCCAATGGTGACCCACAATAACAAAAACTGGGTCATTTGTGTGGTGACCAAAATCCAGAGACAGAATTATAGTGGAGAATTTAAAATCTGACTGATTTTTATTTTATACAATACATAAATCCAAGTTTGAATCTATATTCTTCAGTTTCCAGGTCTCTCCCTTTTCCTCTCAAGTGAAATAATTTCCCTCGCAATTTCTACTCTCTCCGTGTTAATGCTCTCTCCATTTCCCACACTGTTGTTGCCCTTCTGCCAGCTTTTGCTGCTGTCATCCGATATTGCTCCATATAATGTCTCCTGCTTTTCTATGTTTATTTCAGGCGTGAGCCATGCCTCATGCTCCAGTGATCACAGGTTCTTTTTTTCCACAGTAGAAGCACTTGAGAGTAGGAGTATGTGGAGCAGGCAACCAGCTATTGAACTAATGCCCAAATCTCATTGGCCAAAATATTAGGTGCCTTGAGTTAAACGCCTACATCCATATTAAATCACCTAAACTCATAGACTGATTTTCAGAAGCGCAGATCTCTACAAAAAGAAAAGGAGTACTTGTGGCACCTTAGAGACTAACCAATTTATTTATTTATTTACTAACAAATAAATTGGTTAGTCTCTAAGGTGCCACAAGTACTCCTTTTCTTTTTGCGAATACAGACTAACACGGCTGTTACTCTGAAATCAGATCTCTACAGTTTCCCAATACTTTCAGTAGGAGTTTCAGGCACTATGCTCCTCTGAAAATTAGGATGCTTACGTTGAGGTATCTAAATATGGATCTAAGTGTATAATTTTAGATACCCACATTTGAAAATTGTGACTTGTATTCTTAGATGTGATATCAGATATGTGAAATACAAGATTATTTCTAGATGGTTTCTCATGCGCCTATCACTACAATACATGTATTATAGCCCTCTAATTCCCAATTTATAATATTTATTCTGTGTGTTTTATTTAGTTCTTATTATAATTGAAAGTATTCTCCTTCTGTGCGCTCAGTAACTCTTATGGACACCATGGCTCGAAGACCCTATTCATATTTTTAAGACTTATGCCAAGAGCATTATGTTCATCTAATGGCAGTTTTACCTATATTTCTTAAATAACTGATGGTGTAAATGTGTCAACAACACTAAATCCCTCAGTCTGAAGCATGCATCCCTAATAAACATCTTACTCACATTACAAGAAGGTGAATCGCAAGAAGTGCACGATCTTATCTGAAAAATGAAATACATTGTAGTGCAAGATAATGCACATAACGGGTCTGAATCAGATTTAAGTTATGAAAAACTGGGAGAAATCATTGCAATATGTCTAAGTACAGAACACTCATTCGGGGAATAGGTGAGAGGGTTGCTGAGATCAATTAGATCATGTAGCTCTTGCAGACAGTGAGACCAGCAGTAATAAAACCTAGAGCAAAGAACATATTGCACAGTGTGCTTACAAGGTCAAACTGATAGTAATGATATGTGATGGCAGCACTGCAATAAGGTTGTCTAATATTGTATGCATCTGTTATTGGTTTTCATTACCTCTATGCCTGGAGTAAAGTCAGAAGTTCAATGAAATGACAGTGATTACCCAAAGGGGGTAGGCAAATTCAACACATAGTTCAGTACTGCAATCTGCATGAAAGCAGACATAACTGAACTTGATGCTCGTTCTACATGGCTTAGTGATGTTGGGAGCAAAGCTGAGTTTCTCCTGTTTTTTACTCATTTTTAAATTGATGTTACTTAAAGGAATATGGTTGGTGATTTTATTAAGACAGTTTATCAGAAGATACAGCAGCCCTCTCCATAATAATGGGATGATTAAAAATGTAAG